CGTTCGTAGTCGTCGTATCCATCATTGTTGAATCCCTGAGATTTGTTGAAAAGTGCAAAGTACCACACTTCCTGCATGGCTGCGAGTTCTAGCTTCTCACGGTTGGTCAAGTGAGGGCCAAAGAGAGCCATGATTTCTGCAGACATGAGAATAACGACAACAGCTGTGTGATCCCAAAGTTGAGCAATTTGTAGGAAAATATTACAGGATTGGGATGTTTTGGCCAATACCAGTTATGTCTGTATGTATGTTGAACTTCTTTTGCACCGTACGTAGCCAATGGTGCCAAATGGATACGCAGGGGAAGGACAATAAACTAAACATGAAAAGTTCTAAAGAAAGTAGTTTTCAATCTAGATGATTTAAAAGTGTATAACTCCAATGGCTTCCTAATATCGGAAGTGCATCTGAAAGCGTGTGATGTGCTGAGGCCAGAGCACAGATAATCATCCCCATGCAACATGGCCACCATGATGCAGTCCCCCATGCAACATGGCTACCATTAAGTCCCGCATGCAACACTGCCAACATGAAGTCCCTCATGCAACGTGGCCACCTGGATATCACCCATGCATCATGGCCGCTATGAAATCTCCAATGCATCATGGCCACTGTGACATCCACCATGCAACATGACCATTGTGATGTTCCACCATTCACCATGGCCCTCTGTGACATCCCTCATTACTGTCTTTACCTTGCGGTGATTTGCTGCAGATGGAGGCGGTGCCCTCTGAGGACAGCGCACTCCACGTGGTGCAAGATTCGCCCTTACTCCTCGCCTCTCCAGCTCGGCTCATCTACACACACACAAAGACAAAGGTCCACCACGTAAACTTTAGCAAGATGTTGGTGAAAGTGCAGGAGGCGAGCACTGAGCCAGGATCTCTGAGATCCTGGGCTCCACAAACAGGAGGGTCCTGCCAAGATGTTGTGTCAGTTCTCAGCGTTGGGATATTTGGACAATATCTGATGTCACACTTGGATTTACAATGAGACACGTGTGGATTTATAGGACACACAGGTTAATGGCATCCTTCAAACTGATAAGAGAAGTGGGGCTGGGCCAGGACATGCCACGGCCAGGAGGAACAACGATGGCCGATGGTCAAGAAAAATAACGGAGCTGCAGCCAAGTATCGGAGCACGTTTGAGAGGACAGCTTCCAGAAAGATGGAGCGACAAAATCGGTGCTTGGTGGATTATGCCATTGCAGGATCGTGAGCGGTAGCAGGAATTCAGGGAAGGAGTCCTTCATCCAGTAGTGGATAGATAAAAGTACTGTAGATTATTCACATGTAGACAGGCAGGTACACAGACAGGATCTCAGGGGAGATACTCTGATAGATGCACACACTCAGGCAGGCAAGTAGATGTACACTGAGGTATATGGATAGGCGACAGGTCGCCACACGCAGAGTGGAGAGCACACGTCCATCAATACTTCACCACACGAGTCGAAGAGCCACACGTACCTCCATGGTAGCAACTTGCAGAGCAGGGTGCACAGAACTCACAGCGTCTCTCGCACAGTCCGGGTCTCTGCGTGCGGAGCAGGAGACGAAGGCGAGGATCACAAAGTCGAGGGGGCGTGAGGGCTCCCAGATCTCAACACGAGTCACAACGCGGGCTTACATCCGCACCATGAACCCACATCATCAACACAGACTCACATCATCACCACTTACAACACGTAATACAAAAACAACAACAACAACCGACATTCGCCACTAAGTAGGGGTGATGACACCACGGCGCCTGTGCCGGGCCAGGTGCACTTTTAGTCCACGTGAAGTGTCGAAGGCTGACAAGACGTCACGGGATAGACCCAGGTTCCAAAGGTTGGCTGAGATGACTGGTAGATACACCAGCTGTATCCCCAACTGTGCCAACTTGTTGAATTGTATCCGCTACTCGTTGTGAGCGTCACTCCTCTGTCCTCAGTTGTTGTTGGAAGGCGACTGCCTCCTACTGCCCGGTAGGATCCTTCACGAGCTTCCTCGTGAAGGATGCTATCCACACCACTGATACCAGTCTTCTGCAAGTCCACTCAGCTCCACATCCTCCCATACAGCATCAGTCCATATTTTGACAGCCCATGTCGTGCCCGTTTAGCCCCCTTTATGCAACCAAAATAAACTGCTTGGGTATGCCGGAGGAACTTACTGGTGGGAATGTCTCCAGATCTTTCAAGTATTTGTGAGCCCCTCACACAATCCAGCCTGGTTAAACCCAGGATGGATCGTACAATCAACAACACCACCAACAACACCACCATCAACACCACCAACACCAACAAGACTATCACCACCATCAATACCATAACCAAAAACATCACCAACACCACCCCCATCAACATCACCTCCATCAACACCACTAACACTACCACAACCAACACCACCACCAAGACCACCACCACCAACACGACCACCAACAACACCACAATCAACAACACCACCATCAACACCACCAACACCAACAATACCACCACCATCAACACCACCAACACCACCACCAACACAACAACCACCAACAACACCACCATCAACACCACCATCACTAACAATAAAACCACCATCAACATCACCACCACCAACACCACCACCAAGAACACCACCACCAACAACACCACCATCACAAACACCCCAACACGACCACCATAACCACCAACAACACCACCATCACAAACAACACCACCAAGACCACCACCATCAACACCACCAACACCAACAATACCACCACCATCAACACCAACAACACCACCACCACTAACAACAAAGATAAAGATCCCCCTTATAGCTGAAATAGACTGTTGGGGCAAGTGCTGTTAGCCAGCAACACCTATGAAGGGCAGAACGGCACACGAGGGGGTGGGTGGCCAGCACCACGCCCGGCCGCCTTTGTGTTTACACACACACAGACTCACACACACACAGACTCACACACACACACAGACTCACACACACACAGACTCACACACACAGACTCACACACACACACAGACTCACTCACACAGACTCACACACACACAGACTCACACACACACACACAGACTCACACACACACAGACTCACTTACACACACAGACTCACTCACACACACAGACTCACACACACACACAGACTCACACACACAGACTCACACACACAGACTCACACACAGACTCACACACAGACTCACACACACAGACTCACACACACACAGACTCACACACACACAGACTCACACACACACAGACTCACACACACACAGACTCACACACACACAGACTCACACACACACACAGACTCACACACAGACTCACACACACACACAGACTCACACCATTTCTCACCTTCGCCAGATGCTCCCCCGACTCTCTAACGGACAAACTGCCTGAGGGAGACACGAGGGGGCGGTACCAAGTGACCACGCCCACTATGACGTCGCAGACCTAAGCCCCTCCCCCCCACCGGAGCCCCTCCCCTCCACCGGAGCTCCTCCCCCCACCAGAGCCCCTCCCCCCCACCGGAGCTCCTCCCCCCACCGGAGCTCCTCCCCCCCATGCCCAACCCCTCGCCCCGCCCCTTCACCCCCCTCGCCCCGCCCCTCCCCCCGCTGCTACTTCCGCTGAGGCCGGGGCGAGTGGAGGCGGCGCTGTGCATTGTGGGTGGCGAGCGGACGGTTTGGATTCCCGCTCGCGGCCACCGTCGGCGGCTCGCTGGCTGGGCCTCCTCTAGGTCGACTCAGCCCGAACAAGGCGAGCACCTTGCACGCTGTGGACGCAGCAGCAGCAGCAGTGGCGGTGGTGGGGGGGGGCAGAGGAGGCGCCTGCTGAGTTCACGGCCCTGCTGCTGATGAGGAGAGGCACTGCCAGATTGTGGCTGATGGGATGAGTTACATTTAGTTGTTTGTGTCTCTGGAGGGGCGGATTTGTTGTCGTGGCAGAAATGGCCTCGACTAGAGGCCGCGATGTGGAGTGTTTGGTCTACTCTTCCACGCTGGGCGTGCCCGCACTTTACCCCGATACACACGCGGGGCGTGAGCTCACTGGGCTTGCAATGCAGAGGTGCAGGTTCGAGTCCATTTCACACTCAGCCACTCGGCCACTCAGTCACTCATTAACTCACCTACTCAGCCACTCAGCCACTCACTCACCCACCCACTCAGCCACTCACTCACCCACAGAGGGATACAGACCATTTATGCAGTGGTATTGTAGTATCTGCGTCAATGTTTTTGTTGTTTGGTTGTGGTGGTGGTTGTGGTGGTGGTTGTGGTGGTTATGGTGGTTGTGGTGGTGGTTATGGTGGTGGTTGTGGTGGTGGTTATGGTGGTAGTTATGGTGGTGGTGGTTGTGATGGTGGTGGTGGTTGTGATGATCATGGCTTTAGTTTTGGTTGTATAGGTGGTTGTAGTGGTGGTGGAGGTTACAGGTGTGGTGTAGATGGTTATGTTGGTTGTCATGGTAGTTGTGGCTCTGGTTGTGGTGCTTGTGGTGGTTTAGGTTGTGGTTATAATTGTGGTTGTGTAATTTGTGGTTATATGTGCGGCTGTGGTGTTTGGTTATATTTGTTATAATTGTGTAGGTTGTGGTTGTAGTGGACATAGTTGTGGTGGAGGTGGTTATGATGGTTGTTATGGTAGTTGTATTATTTTGAACTTCAATCGCACTCTACCCAGCCGACCGTGCTAATTGGAGGTATGATTATCGTTGCGGTTATTTTATGGTTTTGGTTTTAGTTGTGGTGGTGATTGTGGTTGGTGCAGGTGCTGGGATGAAGGATGGGTTCCGTGTCCTCTGCCCATGCGGCTCCAAAAACGATTGCTCCAACCAGCACTGCCGCCCCTGTGGTCACATGACCTTGCCTCCCAGCATACCTTGCAGTCGTCATTGATTCTAGGCCATCTTTACCTCCTGCATCTCTATAGGAGCTCTCGCTTCCTCCACACACTCTCCTCCTACCTCTGCTCTCTCTCCCCGTGTCTCCATCCCCTCTCTTCTTTCTGGATGGGCCATGTTCAGGGGTCAGGAGTTGACTGGCTGCACTCTGACCTTTGACCTTGGCTGTCACCCGAGTGGGATTATCTAATAGCAGTCAACCCATAGTATCAGGATCTGTCCCGTGACCTCCTGCTGCACCTAGCCTGGCACAGCAGTAAACCCATGGCACCTGGGTCTGTCCCATGACCTCCTCCTCCTGCACCTAGTATGGCACAGCACTCAACCCATGGCACCTGGTTTGTTGTGATGACATTACCGCCACGTAGTGGCGAATGGCGGCCATTGTCGTTGTGAGTTTGTGGGCTTGTGAGTAATGGTGATTGCGTGTGTGACTATCATGTCGTGTCTGTGAGTTGGATGGTAGGGGTGTGTTTATGAGGGTGAGTGTGTGTGGGTGTGTGAGTATCATGGTGAGTATGTGAGTGATGGTATGTGACAGTGTGAGTTTGATGGTGATTGTATCATGGTGAGTGCAAGCAATACTGTGAGCTTGACTTATTTCCCCCCCCCTCCCTTTACCCACTCTTCCTCCCTCTCCCTGCCCTCCCCTCACTCTCCCCCAACCCTCTACTTCCCTGCCTCTATCCCTCTCGGCGTGGCCGAGTGGTTACTTCTAAAGAATTATGGAACTCTTTATCCCTCTCCTTTCTCCCGTAACTACCTCGCCTGTTATACAGGAGATCGTGGGTTTGATCCCTACCCTCACATCTGCTATATATTTCGAGTTTGCATGTCTCTCTCTCCCCGTGGTCGCGTTCAGAGTGTTTGGTTTCTATAAATGTCGACGTGATGATAGGCCACTTCGTTGACCTATCATTTGTGGCATTTTCCCGTCTGAAGAAGAGCTGTGTAGCACGGTGGGCATTACCTGGAAAAATTTAAATAGTTTAGTTTCCTCTTTTCCTCCTCCCTTCCTCCCTCTCCACACCCATCCCCCCCAGCACAACAACAAGAAGCAGGAGGAGGATGGTTTGTTTCCCAAGCCGAGCACTTCCGGGTCCACCTTCATGATCCTCCCTCTGCCCCGGGGGTGGGGGCGGGGAGATCCCCTTGAACAGGGTTACGGTACCCCACCCACATACATACGGGGTTGCGGTGCCCCCACTACACATACGCACAGGGGTACGGTACCCCCCACTCACATGCCAGGCTATGTGCACCACACAGAGACCCAAAGACTCGCACATAGATCCATAGACTCGCATAGACCCATTGACTCACACAGAAACCAATTAACTCAAACAAAGACCCGTCGAAACACGGACAATATATTTACACAAAGACCCATAGACTCATACAGACTCATCCACTTGTGCACCCACCCACTCAACGACTCACAGGCTTACTCGCTCACCCAATCTCTCACCTACTCAGCCACTCACTCAGAAACTCACTCAAGAACTCGCTCACCCATTTACCCACCCATTTGCTCACCCACTCGTGCATCCACTCACAGAATCACTCGTAAACTCACTCACTCACACGCTCAGAAACTGACTCACAAAAGAATTCACCCACTCACTCGTGCACTCACTCGCCCACTTACCCATGCATGCACAGATTCACCCACTTACTTACTCGTTCACAGACTCCCTCTTTGATAGACTCGCTCATAGACTCACTTGCTCACAGACTCAATCACTCACAGACTCACTTAGAAGCTCTCACCCACTAACTTATTCATAAACTCACTCAACTACCGACCCACTTACTTAAAAACTACTTCACTTATCCGCACCCACTCGCTGACCTACTTATTCATCCACTCGCTCAGCCACTCACTGACCAACTCACTCACAGACTCAGTCGCTCACTCATCCACTCACTCCGAAACTCATTCATCCACCTACCACTCAATAATTTCATTCATTCACTCATCCACTCACTCAACCACTCACTCATTCAACAACCCACTCACTCACCCACTCACTTGGAGACTCTCTCACCCACTCACTCACCTACTCGCCCAGTCTATTAGCCACTCATTCAGAAACTCACTCACCTACTCACTCACCCACAATCGATCAATCACTCATATACTAAATCACCCACCCACACACACACTCACCCACTCTTCCACTCACTTAAGAACCCACTCCCTCAACCACCAACTTAGAATATCACTCCTCCACTCACCTACCCATTTACTCACCCACTCGCTCACCCACTCATTCAACAACTTTCTCACTCGTGGACTCACTTGCTTATCTACTCACTCATCCATTCACTCATCCACTCGCTCATCCACTCACTCACCCACTCGCTCACCCACTCGCTCACCTACTCGCTCACCCACTCGCTCACCCACTCACTCACAGACTGACTCAGAAACTCACTCATCCAAGCATTCACTCACTGACTCACTCACCCATTCATTTAACCATTCACTCACAGACTCACTCAGACGCACGAAGAAGCTCACTAACCCACTAACCGATTCAGAAACTCAGTCAACCACCAAATCACCTACTCAAAAACTCCTTTACTCATCCGCACTCACTCACTAACCTATCTACTCATTTACTCAATCAGCCACACTTACTCACTAACTCGCTCACTCATGCACTCAGAAAATCACTCATTCACTCACTTAGAAACTCCTACAATCACTGACCCACTCGCTCAAAAACTCACTCATCTACTCGCTCACTTTCTTATTTACTCACCCACTCCCTCACCAATTCACTCGTTTCCCCACTCATTCCTTCAGTCACTCACTCATTCAGCAACTCGGTCAATCATTATCTAATTCAATCACTCACCCATTCACTCGGAGACTCACTCGCTCACTCATCCTCCACTCACTCACCCACTAACCCACTCAGAAACTCATTCAGCTACTCACTCACCACTCATTTACCCACTCATCCACTCATTGAATAAATCACCTACTCGCCCACTTTCCTAACCACTCAATCAGAAACTCATTCACCTACTCACCCACACACTCACTCACCCACTTAAACTCGGGAGTGGGTGGTTTTAGAGTTCAGTGTTAATCATTGGGACTCCCATAGGGTTCAGTGTTGCTCACTGGGTCTCCCATAGGGTTGAGTGTTAATAAATGGGTCTCCCATAGAGTTCAGTGTTAATCACTGAGGATCCCATCGGATTCAGTGTTAATCACTGGGTCTCCCATAGGGTTCAGTGTTAATCACTGAGGCTCCCATCGGGTTCAGTGTTAATCACTGGGGCACCCATAGGGTTCATTGTTAATCACTGGGCCACCCATAGGGTTCGGTGTAATCACTGGGGCTCCCATAGGGTTGAGTGTTATTCACTGGGTCTCCCATAGTGTTCAGTGTTAATCACTGGGGCTTCCATAGAGTTCTGTGTTAATCATTGGGGCTCCCTTAGGGTTAATGTTAATAACTGGGACTTCCATAGGGTTCAGTGTTAATCACTGGGGCTCCCATGGTGTTGAGTGTTAATCACTTGGTCTCCCATAGAGTTGAGTGTTAATCACTTATAGATTCGAAGCTTTCGTGACTGCAAGGATTCATACTTTTAGTTCTTTCGGTAAAGTCACGTAGGTAAAAAATGAAATTAAAATTTTTACCTACATGACTTTACCGAAAGTACTAAGAGTATGTTAATCACTTGGTCTCCCATAGGGTTCAGTGTTAATCACTGGGGCTCCCTTGGGGTTAATGTTACTCACTCCCATAGAGTTCGTTGTTAATTATAGATTTGAAGTTTTCGTGACTGCAAGGGTCCATATTCTTTGTTTTTTTCGGTAAAGTCACGTAGGTTACAAAATAAAATAAAAATAAATTAAATCACGACGTTTCGGAGGCAACACAAGCTTCCGTCTTCAGGTGGCACCGTCACAGCAGTAATTTTGCTGACGGTGCCACTTGAAGACGGAAGCTTGTGTTGCCTCCGAAACGTCGTGATTTCGTTGTTAATCACTGGGGCTCCCATAGGATTCAATGTTACACACTGAGTCTCCCATAGGGTTCAGTGTTAATCGTTGGGTCTCCCAAAGGGTTCATTGTTAATCACAGACCCATAGATTCCTAAAAACCTAACCCTATAAACACCTAAGCCTCTATACCCCTAACCCTCGAAACTCCTATACTCCGAAAACTATAACCCTCAAATCCCCTTCACCCTTAACACCCTAACCTTCTATGGGCCTTAACATCTTCTGTATGGCTCCCCTCCCATATATCTCTCTGCTCCGTCTGCTGGCTAGCAGTCCGTCCAGTACGTTTTAACACAAATTCCCGATATTGTTTTTCCATAGATTCCATCTCCTCCTCAGAGGTCCACTCTGTATCAGTGTTATGCGTTGGTGTGTCAAACTCAGAATGTTGTGGATCCTGTGCCATCTCTATTATGTAGTGTGGTTAATAGACTTAAGAGTGTATCTTAATTCTAACATCTCATGTGCGTCGTGAGTTACTCTAGAATTCCCCTTCAGAGCACATATAAACAATTGTATCACAGGATGCGTCAGTTCAACTCGAGCAAATAATCTCAGCCCAGCTGTCTTTGTTATACTCTGCTACTCTGGTATTTCCCTTCAGAGCGTGTTTTGTTTGTATACCCCCGTTTACAATCACAAGGCAACGTTAGTTCACAACACTTTGATTAACACAACAGTGATTCGTTCCTGAATTCATGCATAAACTGTCTGCGAGAAATCCCGGACGACGCCCACATTATGTTGTATATGTTGGTTATCAAAATTTGTTATGTTGTATGCGTGCGTGGGTGAAATTATTATGTTGTATATGTGGGTTATGAATATTCAGTGAAAATAATAATAATTAAATGAAATTTGGCCAAATGTGTAATTATCCGGAAATATGTTAATTTATGTAATTACGCACATTTTAATTATGCCAATTCGAGAGGTAATCGTATTAATTATGCGAGTGGGCGTAATTATGATAATACAAGTCGTTATGATAACCAGACCCCGCCTCGGTGACGAGGGTGGGTTATCGATCGGAAGAAGGCAATTAATCGTATGCAGTTATGCAGGTGTGGTGTAAGTATGCAAGATTAACTTAGATTAACTCGGCATCGTTGTCTAGGTTCGTCTCATTCTCGCTTTAACATTCCCAGAGTTTTATTCGTGGTTATATTTTTAGGTCCCCGGTTCACCCCGTTATCGCTTTAACATTTACTGAGTATGTATTAGTGTGTTTATTAAGGTCACCAAGTTCAAATCTCAACGCAGAAGCAGATCTTATGCATAGATTTCAGGAAAGAATCACACAACCACTTCTGTATTGATCAATTTATTACTAATTCAACCTTAACTATGATATAATATGCGAACTCTCAATCCCGGAACGTCAACACGGCATCAATACAGTATCATCAACGATTGTCTGATTTCACTTTGACAACTGCACATGGATCCCGCATAACGCGATGGTTGTTAGTGAGAGAGAGAGTCGTTAAAACACGCAAATACTATGCTAAGAAAACCTTAATGTTAATGAATGATTATACTCAATATTGTTCATAACGCGATGGTTGTTGGTGAGAGAGAGAGTCGTTGAAATATGCAAATACTATGCTAAGAAAACCTTAACGCTAATGAATGATTATACTCAATATTGTTCACGCAGTACCACACTCCTTATTGACCATACGCAACCCTTATCACGTTGTTAACACCTTGGGTCACGGGACAGTTGAATATTTGGTAGAGGATGCGAGTACGTGCGGCGATTATGACTGAAAGATACTTGAAAGATTATACGGCGATAAAAACACAATCAAAAACAGTTATTATTCTTAAAGGCACCAATCTCAACAGATACATCGGCAGGTTATCTGACAACAGAACGGCTCGGAGTAAGGGCCTGCGACGGTGCTCCTTTTCCGAAGCTCGTTATCTTATACCAAGTTTACTAATTGGGGACCAGATCACCTGATAAGGATCCGGTGGGCCACCACTCCCCACGTGAGCGTGGCTCGGCGGAAGGAGGTGCCAAGAATCAGTTCGTATTGATGGATCTGTTGGGAATTTATGCGATTAAGAGTACAGCCCACTAAATATTAAAGATAAAAATTAAGAATACTCTTATAAACGACGGAGGGCC